TATTCCATACATAGAGCCCCCTGTATTTATACAAAATGCCTCACTTCCCAGGCCTCCTCATTCCAAGGCACCTGGGGACAAAGCAGTTTGCTTTCTGCTTGGGGTGTGGAAATCTTGCCTCCAGCCTTTCTCTCCTCTCAGCATCTCTCACCCACACTGGCCACCAGAGAAGACAGGCACAGAGGGCCAGGCACAAGGAGGGCATGAGGACTCTTGGCTAACTCCACTGTTTATCAAGGGGAGGTTGAAGCTGGACCCACTCAACATCACAAACAGAAGTCCCACGAAAAAGGATGGAGACTTCAGTGGTGAGAAGTAGAGAAACCAGGACCCCAGAGAGCCCCCAGAAGAAGGCTGGTCGACAGAGGGGTGGGCATGAGCGACAGTGGCTGTGCATCTGAACAGCACAGTGAGAGGCTGTCGTGCTCACATTCCAGGTTCAAGGTCCACCATAAAACCAGCGCCCACCTGAACCACAAGGCTAGCACAGCCGTCCTCCTAGCCCGGGTTCCTGGAGTAGAATTTAAATTCTTTCTGAAGTCTGGGAATGCAGGTTCCCCCGGGGAATTTTCCGTTTCCTTTCACCTGTTATCAGAGACCACTAAACTGTGGCTTATAGGTCTAATTCAGCCAGCAGCCTCTTTGGGAATAGCACACCAGCTAAAAGCATTTGTTTGCATGTTTTATTTTGGGGTTTTTTGTTTGTTTCATTTCATTTCACTTTGATTTTAGTACTGAAGATGGAACCCAGGACCTCTGCACTGGGATATGTTCCAAGCTCTTTTTATTTTTTATTTTTTATTTTTATTTCTTACTAAGTAGCTCACTTACCCAAGCGGGGCTCAGATTTGTGATCTTCCTGCCTCAACCTCCCAGAGTGCTGAGATTACATGTTTGTACCATTATACCTGGATTGGCTTTTACATCTTTCAAAGGCTGAAGATAAAGAGGAGGACAAGAAAGAAAGGCCATATGTGACCCACAAAGCCTAGAATGTTTACCTTTTGAGGGAGAAGTTGCCAACGCTGACCTAGACTCCTCTAGCAGCAGGAGCACTGGCCAGCCAAACAGAAGGCGCAGCAGGCAGGACACAAGCCTTGCACCTATGCCCACTCAACCATGGGATAGGTCACCAGGAATGGTATCTAACCTCTGGGAGTTTCCATCTCCCACTCTGCAATGTGGAAACAGTAACAGGACACAGCTCTCGGTGCCATGGGAGTTGAACCAAGTATAATCCCTGCCAAAGCTTTAGACAGCGCATTCTGGGCAACCACAGTGGGCAGCCCACATGGCTGATGGCAGCAGTGTCCATAACAGGAAAATGACGGAAAGGGCCCATCCTGACTGCTGGCTATTTCCACATCACAATGGAGGGGGAACTGGCACATGGGCAATTCCTCTGAGGTCACCTGGCTAGAAATAGGATGTCATGAAGACAGCTTTCAGCAACTCATGAAGGTCCAACCCAGGATCAGGTCCCTGGTGCTGTCCCCTCACTGCTCCCTTCTGTCACCCCTCCCTTCTCTGGATTTCCGCCCTTGGCTCCCTCCCAAGGACTTGGCTCTTTTACAAGCAGATTGGTCACACACACACACACACACACAATGTTGTGTTGTTGCCAACAGCTAAAGTTATTTCCTATTCCCGGAGTATTTTCATTTTAACAGATGATTCCTAGACCCCAAATATTCACAGTATTTACCTGCAGTTGTGTGTCAGACAGCTCAAACAAGTGTCCATGTATTTATTTGTTTAGTCTTGGTGGGGGGATACCGGGGATCAAATTCACAACCTTGAACTTGCCAGGCAGGTACTTATGCCACTGACCTAAATCCCTGGCCCTAGGCATTCATTTTTCCCAACACTAGAACCAAAGTTGATATCTGGCCACAGCCTCTGCTAAAGGTCAGCTATCCAAGCCCTGCGTCTCACATGTTGAGTCGCACTCTGGGACAGACAGGTAAGCACGTGATGTGGCCACATGAGTCTGTCCAGCTCTGCTGTTACCAAAGCCTCCACAGCCCCCAGACCCTCACATCACACCCTCATTAGCCTCTTGGTGCCCGAGAGGGCAGAGTCTGACAGGGCACATACAGGGTGCCAGGTCACACTACCATTGAGATTACCAAGACACACAATTTATAAACATGAAGAAGCGGGGCCTGGGATTTAGCTCTGCGACACAAGGACCCACCTGGCAAGTACAGGGTCATGAGTTCAGTTCCCGGTACCAAAAAAGAAAAAATGAAGAAGTGTCTGCCTGAACAGGATCACAGAACTTGTGCTCTGTTTAAATAATTACATTGTGAAACTAAACTCTTAACCTCAACTTGTGGTACCAATCCACAAAACCATTTAAGGATTGATCTCAAATGTTGGTTTATCCTGGAGAAGCAGGCAAAATGGTCTAACAGTTAGCCAGCGAGGTGGCGAGCTGAACAGCGTGAGACTCCTTCTGCTCTGGCAATGCGGCTATGTGTCTGCTCACAGCATCACTTCACTGGGAGGTGACATCCTTGGAAATAAGACCCAGGTCCAGAGATGCCACTGGTCTGGCACAGCGCTCCAGTGAATTCCTAGACAGCTCTCGGCACCTGAGGCGCACTGAGCTCACCGCTTCTGCCAGAGGCCTGGGACCGGATTCTTCTCATGCATGAAGCGCCACCACAGCCACAAGCTGCTAACTCACTCTCAGTGCCAGGACACCAGCTGTCAGCCTTCTCTGCCCTGACCCCCTCCCTGCTGCTAGCAGAACTGCCCCATTCCTGTTCTCCCAGGGCTCAAATGATCCTTGCAGACAGCGTGGAAAGGGGGATAGGAGGGACCCAACAGACAGGGCCTCAGCCAGAGACCAAAGTCAATGTGAAGTGTCACAAATCATGGTGCTTGTATGTAATATGTGATGAGCATGGCATTTTGTTTGTGTGGCCTTTCCTAGAAAGAAAGAAAGAAAGAAAGAAAGAAAGAAAGAAAGAAAGAAAGAAGAGAGAGAGAGAGAGAGAGAGAGAGAGAAGAGAGAGAGAGAGAGAGAAAGAGAGAAAGAAAAGAAGGAAGGAAGAATCCCAGTCTACCCAGGACACACAAGCCAGGCCAATGCCTGTAATCCCAGCTCCCTGTGAGGCTAAGGCCGAGGGCTTGAAATCTCAAGGCCATTCTGATCCTGACCCAAAATAAGTCTGAGGCCCTTGGTTCAATCCCCAGTACCATTGGAGAAGGAGGAGGAGGAGAAAGGGAAAGGGAGAAGATGAAGAGGAAAAAGAGGAAGAAAGGAGGAGGAAAAGGAGAAGGAGGAAGAAGAGAAAGAGGAAAAAGAGGACGAGAAAGGAAAGAAGGAGAAGGGGAAGGGGAGGGGAGCAACAAGACAGAAGACCAAGATTCCTGACCAATATTCCTCAAAATTGTCAAGGTCACCAGAAACAGGAAAAGTCTAGAAACTATCACAGCCAAGAAAAACCTAAGAAGACACGATGCTTACATTTAATGTAGTGTCCTGGATAGGATTCTGGAACAGAACGGCGACAGTAAGTAAAAAATAAAGACAGACTGGCAGATGTGTATCACACGCCTGAAATCCCAGCATTTAGGAAGCTGAGGAAGGAGGATCAACATGAGTTCAAGGCCAGGCTGGGCTACATAGTGAGTTCAAAGCCAGCCTAAACCATAAAATGATACCCTGTCTCAAAAAATAAAATAAGGAAAGAAATCTGATGAAGTACGATCTTTAGTTAACAAAATTGAATCAAAATTGTTTAATGCATACCAAGAGAGTAACAGAGGAAATGGGTATGGGATACACAGGTTTTTGTACTATCTCTGTACATTAATTCAATACATCCAACACTGATCTAAAATAAGAAGGTTTGTTTTTGTCTTGTTCTAATTTACCTCACTGTGTGGTCCAAGCTGGCCTTCAACTCACTATGTACCCAGGCTGGTCTTGAATTCACAGTCTTTTTGCCTCAGCCTCCTCAGTGCTAGGATTATAAGTATCACACCAGGAAACAAGGTACTTACTTTTAAAAGACCCAAGTGAAAGATTGCTTCCTCCTTACCTACTTCCTCCAACACAGGGCGCATGACCCGGCTCTGCCTATTCCTGTAGAAAGCTCTTAGGTGAGCTGTGGGTCCCTTCAGCTTCCAATTCCTCAGCATCAGTGGGGAGGGGGTAATGATGATAGTATCCACTGACTATAGGGGAAATTAGGGCCAAGAACTGATTGAAAAGTACCATGAATGTCTACAACAACAACAACAAAAAAAGACAATGCTAAGAACTAGAGGACCTCTACAATGGGTCCCTAATCTCCTGCATGGAGTTACAGCACACAGCAGGAGGAAAGATCAAGAGAAAAATAGGGGTACAGCAGGCATGTGGAATAATCAGTTGTTCATGGGGAGCAAACAGCCACCACGAAGCACCCAGAACTGTGGTATTTATTGGTTACATCTGGTGGAGGACAATGGGCAAGAGACCAACAGTGTTTCCAGGATCAGTAACTGCAACTATGATGGGCTACACGCTTGCAAAGTCAAGGTCAAGACAGGGAGGTGTCATCATCTTCAGCAGGTCTGGTCCTGCCCTTGGAGTGTCACAGCAGTCACTGGCCCTAGGGCTTCTGGCCATGACCAGAAAAGAGCAAGGAGTTTCTGTGTTCCCATCTGGCTCAAAAGGCAGGATGGGGACAGCCTGGGAGGCCCCTAAGACTCAGTTTATAACTGGTGGTCCCCAACAAGGAATGATAGGAGAAGTGTATTCAAAGTGCATATTTGGAGGGGGTTTAATAGCAAGGTATCAGGCCAGGGATGTAGCTCACTGGCACAGCGCCTGCCTGGAGAGCATGGTGCTAGGAGTTTGATTCCTGGGACCAAAAAAAAAATAATAATAATAATAATAATAGTAAGTATCTCTAACTGTAATAATTTTTTTTACTTATACATTAATCTAATTTTTGAACATCTCTCAATGATCAAACATTTATAGTAAATTCTGTTTATGGTTTGGGCTTTTTGTTTTTGTTGTTGTCATTCTTTTTTTGTTTTGTTTCTTTTTCATTTTTGAGAGAGGGGAGTTGAGACAGGGTCTCTCTGTATAGCCCAGGCTGGCCTTGACCTCACAGTGATTATTCTGCTTCAGCCTCCTGAGTGCTGGGATGACAGATGTATTCCATTACACCAGGTATTTATGGTAATTTCTGCCACATAAAAATTATGGTGTGTCCTCAGTCACTGAATCTGGGACCATAATTTCCGGCTCTTCCTCAAAGTTAAAATGACTGTGAACAGTACGTGTTCGGACTCAGCCCAAAACACTGAGGCAGTCACAACAGCACTCATGAAGAACTTCCAGAACTGCTTCAGAAAGTAGCAAGAACAAGGAGATAAGCACATTTGAGTGAGTAATGTGACAAGGATTAATGGCAGTGTAAGTTTTTACTGTAATGATTTTTATTTAAACATTCACCATGTTTTTGATCTCCCCACGTACAAAGTTCACAGTTCCTCCGTCAGGAAATGCTAGGTGTGAGCTGATCCAGGGAGAGGTCCAGCTCTGTGGTCCAGGCTCACACCTCAGGCCACACAGGGTGGTCTCCCCCTCAGAGGAGAGCAGCGGGGTAGGAGAGACATGGCCCTCAAAGTGCCCGGACTCAGGAGCCCCTGTGGAATGCAGGAGGAAGTACAGGGTGTTGTTGTGTCACTACAAAGGCATCCTGCCCCTATGTTTATGACCGAGTCACCCTGGGAGCACAATGCCCGGAAGGCTACTCATAGCCCAGAAGGACAGACAGCAAGTCTGCAGCTTCCACTCACTGCCCCCCCAACAGGGCTGGTCACATTGTGCCGAAGCAACCCCACCTCCACCAGGAACACAGGATATACCACTACTCCCCTAGAAAAAGTGCTGGGTACCCTGGGCCTCCAGCGCCCCCAGCAGCTAGGCTGTGGCAAGGCCATCACAGGCTGGACAGGGCAGCCAGGCCTGGGGACAGCAGGGCCTGTCCCTCAGCACTTCATTGGTGAGCCAGTCCCTGGGTGGTGCTGGCTTCTTGACAGGGCAGCTGAGGCCTTGCCATTGACCTGAAGTAGACATCATAAAGCATGGATGTGCAACCTGTCCAGTTGCTACTGGACAGATGCCCCTCAGCAAGTTGCCCAACTTCTCCATATCACAGTCTCCTCCTCTGTCACCAGAGAAACAGCATCTTCCCAAAGCCTCTCACAGCTGGAAACATCAAGCAACTCAGGAGGATGCAGGTGCCTGGGGTGCCCTAAAGTCCATAGTCCATGACTCACTGCACAGGGCGTGCAGGCCTGCCTTAAATCTGGCCGCATCTGCAAGGCATCCTGTACCTTCAGAGTACTTGTGTACGACCTGGTAGCCATGGGAGTGCATACCTGTAATCCCAACTATTCAGGAGGCTGAAGCAGGAGCAGGCAAATTTGAGGTCCGTCTTGACAATATAGTAAAACTGTCCTGAAATAAAAACAAAAAGGGCTAGGGGTGTAGTTCAGTGGTAAAGCACGTACCTAGCATGTGTGAGACCCTGAGCTCCACCTCTAGTACTAAAAATGAATGACTTATATATGGAACCACTGATACTTATAAGGTGTAGATTGACCTACATGAATGACAAGGAAACTGAGATCTCAGGCCTAGAGGGCTGACTTGATTTTCCCAAAAGACCCAGCAGGTTAGTAACAAAGCTGGCCCTAGATTTTCTCTGTCTCTGTCTCTGTCTCTGTCTCTCTCTCTGTGTCTCTGTCTGTCCGTCCATCTCTCTCTCTCTCTCTCTCTCTCTCTCTCTCTCTCTCTTTTCCTCTTTCTTTCTCTCTGTCCACCTGTCTGTCTCTCTCTCTCTGTTTTTTTGAAGTGGGGTCTTACTATGCAGTTGAGGCTGGCCTTGAACTCATGGTAAACCTCCTGCCTCAGGCTCCTGAGTACTAGAATTGTAGGCATGCACCACCACCTTGCCCAGCTTTCCCTCCAGTTTCTTACCATCTCAGAGGAATGGAGTTTGATTATTAGATTCAGTGTGAGATGGACAGAATGCCCATGGTCCTGGCGGTGGCCTGACCCTTCTTCTCCCTGAGTCCCCTGTCCTCACCATACTGTGAACAGTGTGCATAAGAGAACAGAATTTGCGTGAGAGGCATCCTGCAGTGCCCGTGTTTTACCAAGCACCGCTCTGTGTGAGGAACCTTAGCAATCTCCATGGTACATTTAAGTAGAAGCAAAACCACACAGCCCCCGCCCTTGAGGAGTGTGCAGGATGACAACAGTGACTCAAATGTGTCACCACCGTTACCCTTCCTTCCTCACTTTTGCTTGGTGGACACGTTCGTACTGTTTTACACATGACACGGAGGGAGCCAGCCAAAGCTCCAGAGCTGTCATGTCTGGAGGACCACCTGGACGACTCTCCTTGAAAGAAGAGCAATCAGCTCCATTTCGTCTAAACCTGGCCCTATCTCCGTGTATTCATATGAACAGAGCTGGCTAGGCCATTTCCTTAGCCCTTCAATTGGCTTTAAGCAATGAAAACAGCCTGGTGTAGCCGAGATGCTGATGTGTAGGCTTTGAAGCAGAGTGACAGGTCAGTGCTACCCTGCCCCTTAACTCCCAAAATACATGTGTGAGCCGCGTGGGAGAGAGACCACGCTCCACACTGGCTGCCGCTGTCAGCTGGGATGGAGCCTCCAGATAAAAAGCTATGACTTTCCAAGGCACAAACGATTACACACCAGAGCTGAAGCACCAACCGCTAAACACTAGCTACTACCTCACATTGCGTTATACAGATTACATTTCCTGCATACCCTTCTGTCTGCATACTGCAGGGTGCTTTCTGGCCTCCTCCCTAGCCCAGCTCACAGCACTCACGCACTTCCCACCACTCTCACGGTCACTCATCCTCAAGCCACTCCCTTCTTCACAAGTGAACAAAACTCAGGTTTGGCCTTGGGTGGAAGCCTCTGTTCAGCTAACCATCACCCTAGCTGGATTTAGGACCCCCTTGACTCCCCACAACTATAAATAAGCCTTCTTGTCTATTTTCACCATGGGGTGCACTGGAAGTGGTAGATTGGAACTGACTCGCTAGAATTCCAATAACTGCTCCATGGGATCACAAATACAAACTTCCCAGACTGCAACGCGGTCCAAGAAGGGCTCTGTATAGTGTTCTGAAAATAGAACAGGGGGCAGCGCATGTGCACCTGCTGCCCCTCGGTCTGCACAGCAGCAGCCTAGGGCCTGGCGGGGTCCCTGCTCTGCACCCACAGATAAGCGAATCAGCACAGCCTCTGCTTGGCATCTGGAGAGCATGCTGGAAGGAGCATGTGTCACCAGACCCAGAAAAGTCAAAATTCAAAATGTCCAGTGTGCTTTCTCCCAAGTGCCTGTCACTTTGGCTCCATGGAGAAGTTGAGAATTTGTAACTCAAAGCAGCATGGAGGGACACATCCTGTGCTTACATCCTAATTTTATCATCCCTAGTCTGGTGTGCTTTAGAACTGAAACTCCTAGTGTGGAAGAAAGAGGCCACAAACGTACATAGAAAAGATTAGGGGAAATGTCATGGCCCTGAATTTGAACCAGAAGCACCAGGCTCGAAGGGATGTGTGCAGTGACTACGGATGGTTCCAGCCTCCAGGCACAGGCCTGGAGCCCACCCTTTCCTCTGCCACCTCCTGGTTCCACCCTGCCAGTCTCGGCAGTCAGGCAGCTGTAGCTTAGGGAGACCTCTCCACACCACACCTTCATCCCTCACTGGGACTTACAGTGCTCACCCTCACCCCTTCCTGTGAGCCCCCCACTCCGCACCTTCACCAGGAGCCTCTTCCCCAGCCTGAGCTGACCAAGCACACTCTCAGCACTGGACACAGCCCCTGCCAAAGACTGTGACGCGGGACAGCTACCCGCAAGCTGGTGCAGTGGCACCACAGCTGGAAGCTTTTCCCATCTAGGCAAGTAGTGGGTGGAGCAGAGCTTGTGAGAGCTGGAGCCACAGTGGGACCACCGGGAGGGAGCCTTGGCCAGAGGGGCCCGGAGGCTGCCAGCAAGGTAACAAAGCACTGAGGAAGTCCTGGCCCAGCTTCTCCGCTCCTGCCCTCCACTGCGGGCCAGGGAGTCAGCTGAGGGTCTGCACCACAGGAGGGGAGAGGGATCAGCAGGAGGAGAGCGGTGAATAAAAAGCAGCATAGGAGCAAGCCAGTGCTGGTTCCTCTGTTTCCATTATGCTTTCCCCGTTCTCTTATTTCCTCCCTTTCTTTTGTCAAACTCCTATTCATCCTTCAAGGCTTTTCTCTGACCTCCCCTCACCACACACACACACACACACACACACACACACACACACTGCCTCATGTCGCCTTCACTAAATCCCATCCTCCCTTGGAGCATCACCTCTGCTCCCACAGGTGTCTCAAGGTCACAGCACCCATGACCTTGCTCTGGGACTATTTCCCATGTATTCCTCTCTGTCTGGACTGTGAGCATCCAGACATCTGGAAATGGCTCTACCGCATGTCCCAGGACAAGGGTGATCAAAAAAACACAGTTAATGCTTAATTTTTATAAAAGCCTATTACAGTTACAGGCACATTGCCATGAATGGGATGAATGTGATCAAAGCAAAGGAGAATATTCTGAATATTTCAACAGGGATTAAAGGCAATGTTTTTCACTGTAATAGATTGTTAAAACTGAAATATCTACTATAGTAACTGATTACACCACATACCCATGCTACCATCTCACGTAATATGGGAGCCTTTTTGTATCATGGGACAAGAGCCAGGCTTGAATCCAGGTGCTCAAGGGAAAGTATTGAACTGGAATTCACGGGAGGCAGCCCCAGCCAGACTTTCTACAGCAGAGTTCACCTCACCAAAGAGGCCACACTGCTGTGCCCTGACCCGAGGCACCATCACACGGGGAGGTTGCTGCTGCTCCTCCTAGCTGAGTACCTCTGGCCAAGGCATCTCTGATCATCAGGGCATGATCTCAATACACTGAGGCAGGAGGATCACAGGTTCAAATCCAGCCTGGGTAACTTAGCAAGACCCTGTGTCAAAATAAAATAAAAATAAAAAAGGGCAAGGGATGTAGCTCAGTGCAAAGGTCCCTAAGTTCATCTCTAATACTGAACAACAGAATTGTACCAGATGTCCCAAGTGCCCAGGCTGAATAACAAGGGAGGGAGACCCTGGTGTCCTGGACATCCAGTCTGATGGAAGAGCCAAGACTCAAAACAAGAACATCAGAGTGACAGACAGTAGCAGGGAGAGAAAAGGGAAAGAGGGCTTACCCTTATCTACACCTTATAAGTATCAGTGGTTCCAGCAAAGAAACCCAAAGCAGATCTGGTTGACAAGCTCCTCCTCCTCACCCCAGCCCAAAGACCAGAAAGCAGGGGCCCTGCCAAGAAGCTTTAGCAAACCACAGACAGCCACAGACAGGCACTGAGTTCCTTTTCTGGGGCCATGGCAACAAAACACCACAAGCTGGTAGTTTCCACAGAAATGGATTGTTCAAAGTTCTGAGGACTGGAAATCAGACAGTGAGGTGTGGCAGGGTCGGGTCTGTCCAAAGGCTGCAAGGAGAATGTATTCCTGGCCTCTCCCCAGCTGCTGAAGGCTGGCAGGCAGGGTCCCTGAGCCATCCCATCATCTCCCCTCAGCAGGCTCTTTGCCTTCTCCCAGCATTTGTGTGTGTACGAGTAAGTGGTATGCATGTTTGTATTTTAAAATATAGGTAGAAAAAAAAGCAAGAGGATTACAAGTTTAAGCCCAGCCCAGGCAACTTACATCCTGCCTCAAAATAAAAAATCAAAAGATGCCAAGTGTAGGGACACACAGCTGTTACCTCAGCACTCTGGGAGGCTGAGGCAGGAGGATCACCATGAGTTTAAGGTCAGCCGGGGCTACATAGTGAGACACTGGCTCGAAAAACAGGACTTCAAGTTGGAGCCCAATATGGACAATTTAATGATCTAGCGAGACTCTGTCTCAGATTTTAAAAAAGGCTAGGGATGTACCTCAATGTGAAAGTCCTGGATTCAATCTCCAGAAGTGCAAATAGATAAACAGACAGACAGACAGACAGATAGATAGACATATAGATATGAAAGTAAGGAAGAAAGAAAAACAAACTAGAGATGTAGCTCAGTGCAAAGGCCCTAGGTCCAATCCTTAGTACTTCCAAAAAGAAAAAGAAAGAAAAAGCTTAGCATTTAATCATTTTTAATTACACAGTCCATCAGCTTGAAGTATACTTCCAATGGTGTTCAACTCTAAGTATGAGCTTTTCCAATATCCCAGACTGAAACTATTGGTTATCTCTCACTACCCCCACTCCTAGCTGAGGGCCCACTCTCATTTTTTTTTTTTTTTTGTTTTTATGAATATATCCATTCTAGGTCCCTCAGAAGTAGACATATATAATCTACATTCTTCTGGTATCCAAGTTGTTCC